AAATAGGGGAAAAAACATGACATTTCAGGTGGAAGGATGAAAAAGCAAAATTACATCACTTATATCTCCTCTGTTCAATCATTTTTAATTCCTGCTTGATGATGATATGATCAAATGCGCGGTGTAATTTACCGCACAAGCTGATGGTATGTGGCTCAAAGCCCTCAAAAAAAAAAAGGGTTCAGCCAAATTTTTCCCCTTTTTAAACATTTCACTTTTTTTTTATAAATCGTGTAGTTTTATAAATGTAATTTGACCCATAAATTTACAAAACGAGGTATCGTCAAATTTAAATTAATTTACACCAAAAAGCCCACTTCTCTGACTCTTATATGTCTTACAATACAGGTACTAAGCAAATCCATCTTCCCTGATGATTCAGGAATTAAACGCCTAGTCAGCATGCTATTCTCATAAAAAGTGTTTCCTCATAACTGACATATAATGATTGTCCGTATCATGGGGTTAACTTTCTCTTCTTTCTCTCCTCTCTCGCTCTGTTTGTTCTCTCAACGACTTCTCTTTCTTTCGTATATCCGTCTTGCAAATTAGTTACATAACTTTTCAGTACATGGCGAGTAATCGCCTCACCAGCATGCTATTCTCATAAAAAGTGTTCCCTGACAACTGAAATATAATGATTATCCGTATCGTGGGATAACTTTCTCTTCTTTGTTTCCTCTCCCACTTTGTTTGCTCTTTCCCCCTCTCCCTCTCTTCGATTTTTTTTTTCTTTCCCATATCCGTCTTGTAAATTAGTCCCATGACTGTTCAGTACATGGCAATTAGGAGGCTGTACTGATGATTCCCGCTCCTACCCGCATACAAAGTTCGGTCTATGTTTACAGCTGAGGGATGAAACACAGAGAGACTGCACCGTAAAATGTCTTCTTACACGTGACACTTAAGTCCAATCCCTCTATTCTACTATTTCAAGAGAGACCGCAGCGCTTATTTATAACAGAGAGAATCCAAACAGCTAACGTTATACTATCACTATAATAATTTACGATAGTTTATCATATTGATAATGGTGTCGTACACAAAGTGAGCTTAAAAACCACATATTGTATAAATTTCCAGTATGGATCACTGCACTAATTTACGATATAATTACACTACTGTACATATCCAAAATGTTAAAAAACTCGAAAACCGAAAGAAAGATAAAAAGAACTTACAAAATTACTTTCACATGCTCGCCGCAAATAATCCAGCGCAAGGGTCTGATCATTTGGATCTATAAATAAATTACTAAAAATTACTGTCCATGCTATTTATACCGGGATGCACCGGAATTACGGAGCCATGCAATGCAAAAATGCATATTGTCAAAAGGATTTTCGTATGTATGTACGTATGTACATGTGTGTGTGTGTGTATGTGCATGTGTGTGTGTGTGTGTGTGTGTGTGTGCGTGCGTGAGTGTGGGACAACTGAACTTTGCCATCCACTTTCAACTTAGTGACAGAGAAAACTGGAAGGCTGAAATTATGCAGGGACATTCTACACTCACATTTGGTCTAAATACAGCTTAGAGGCCCAATTCCCCGCCTAAGACATGGATAAATGTACTTTTTCTGCCTCAACTTCAAAAACGAGTGCATTCTGCTTGGATTTCGTCATCCTTCTCTCTCGACTTCCTGTTCATTGTCCAGTTTGCATTTTCAGAAAGCAACCGATCACCATAAAAAATTTACGGGGATCATGCATGCTGGAGGTTAAGATTTCACGCGGCCCCGTGATGCAATACTACCGTCTCAGCTGACATCTTCTTACCCCCGTATGCAACAAAAGGCCAAAACACAGCCAACATGAGACCCTTTGTTAAAGTGTAAAGCAGCAATCACACATACTATAAACGATCTGACTGCTTCAAATTTAGCGCAAAAACGCATGGTCCCATCGGTAAGCCTGTTGCCTTGCTGGCTGGGTTTTCCTACGGACGCCACTTACCAATGCATGCCATTCAGCAAAACAACGTACCCTTCCCAAAAAAACCACAGCTCAAGGGAAGTATGCAATGACAACTCGTCCCCCGCCCCCCTTTCCCTACTTTCACACCCGGCATTTTCTCACGGACGAAGCTAAACGTTAAATGTTAGGGAACACGTTTAAATTCGACATATGCACAATACTTATTAATATAATTATCGTAAAAAAAAAGACTTACCGAGCGAAGCTGTCCGTTGCAACACCTCTAACAGCTCCTGGTGCGCCATGTTGCCTGGAACATACATGGTATTAGGAAAAAAAAAAACCAAATTTCGAATAACGGATTGAACAGACATGGACAACATTTGCAGAAAATTCTACATGAATCTATTCGTATTTCATGTGCCCACATATTCCAACATCTGTAATTCGCGCCACCAGGCAACAAATCTTATAAAAACCTTAAAAAAACTTGCATTTACAAAACTCGCTTGCGTCGCTTGCCTTTTTTTCCTGTTTTTCTCCTTCAGCTTTTGCTTTTACCTCCTCGACTTTACGCTTCTTTACCCAACATCAATTATCGAGGAAAAAAATCAGTTTTTGACAAATAGGTAACTCAAATTTGATACCTTGTCGCCTATGGCTTAAGTTCTACTTCCAGACTAAAAAGGTCGTCCCCTACCTAATTTCCAGTTTTTTCACCCTCATGTATCTTCCCTCCCTTCAACTTCCCCACCTCCCTGCCCTATCTTCGATGATCGAAGGGGCTCTTCGCAATGTCCTTCTACCAAAAAATTATGCCTCAGCCAAATGCCCCATGGTCAGAGTAATGTCCTGCAGCCCGAGAACAATCTTTTCGGTCGAAAAGTTAGCTCCTGGCCAGAAAAGCCTTTCTTTACCTAATTTTTACATGGCGGGTAGAAGGCTGTTCCTTCCGACATGCAAAGTTCGGTCTGTGCTTACTACAGCTAAGGGATGAAACACACAGACTGCATCGTAAAATGTCTTCTTACACATGACATTTAAAAAGTCCAATCCTTCTGTTCTACTATTTCATACATTCAAAGCTGAGGGCCAGAACTGCCAGAAAACTGACCATCAAATGAGAACACTGGTCAAAATATCCATGAAATGAAGAAGAAAATAAACGTCGAAACGTCTTAACTCTCTCGTACTTATTTTTCCTACACCAGCTATATTTCTACATCTTGCATTACATAGTTCGTTCTATTCTTGCC